TATATATATATATATATATATATATATATATAAGACCATGGGGCATTTTATGAAAAATTGTCCTATTTGAAGAAGTTTAAAACTGTTTATAGTCTGTTTATATAGTTATGTTGAAAAGGATAAAATAACTTTTTAAAAAGTTGCTTTAAAAAAGTTTAAATTGTTTTAGCTCCCTTTATAAACTGTGATGTATGCTTTCAGAGTTGTCAGTGTCATTTTGAGATGGGAGATATTTATCACTTTCATTAATAGTTCCTGTTTCAGAAATATTTAATTTATTTTTAAAATGCAGTAGGTAACTTTACAACAAGTAGAGATTAAAATAAGAAGCAGTTATATAAATCACCCGTCATATTTTTTAAAAATTATAACATAAGACTGACAGGTAATGGTATTTATGTACATTTTGATCGTTTACTGTTTGTTATTCTTCTTCCATGTAAATGAAACATGCTGCTGTATGTATATTTTTTCTGCCTCACAATGACTTAGGATCATTGTGAAATTAGTTGTGATTTGTATCAATGTATGAGTTCTCAGAATCAGAGACAATGCAAGAAAATATGAAAATGCTATTGCATTGTTGATTGCATAGCTTTTTTTTTTCTTTCTTTTTTTTTTGGGGGGGGGCAGGTGCTTGAGCAAGTTAATTGATATTTTTCTTTTTAAGCAAGGTCTTCATAATTTCTTGTTTAAAATTGGTATATATATATATATATATATGGTGCTGCAATCTCCATGTTTACAAATATGATATTTTTGGCCTTGTATACTTATCTTTAGAAAGGATTTTTGTGTTATCTGTAACTGTTCAATGTATATTTTGTTTGATATTGAAAGAACAGTTGTATTCAAAACACTTGTTATTGTTGTCATTTATTTCACATCAACTTATAATGCATAAAAGAATCCCTGAAGAAAGCAAAAAAAAGTAGTGCTGATAACTATCAAAGAACAAAAAAAGTGGTGAGTATTTTGATTTCCTGAAGTGAGCACTGAATTGATTGGTCATATCAACTTTCCAGACTTTGATGAATTGCCACTCCCATTATTTTCAACAAGTTGAGGCCACCAGAAAATGAACACTTTGTTTACCAACATATTAATTGATTTTTTTAATGCCGAACTTGACCGTCGGTATTGACTTCAACTATTAGCTTGCATGATCTTGGGTATAATTACCTATGGGGCTTTGAGTCATAAAACAAAAACTCTATCGTTTTTTGTAAGCTTTAAAATTCCATATCATTATATCAATCTGGAAAAGCTACTTAAAGAAAAGGAATTTTGCTCCAACAGTTTTCGACCCTAAGTTTGATAATGGTGTAAAGTTAGATGTAGTTCTGTGTTGTGTTTGAAAATAAAGAAATGTCTATTTCTTATTTGGTTTAACTTTTGGTGTAGCTGCCAAGTACAACTGTACCGAGATGACCCACCATGTTGATTTGAATTCTTCACTGTGTTCATAACTTCATGGCCTCATTTAGTTATTGTTTCACCCTCTTATTTCTTAAATAACACAAAGCTAACAATTCAAGCATAGTTGGATTTTATAAAAAAAAAAAAAAAGAATTATGTGGACAACACTTTTACCCTATGTATTGTTCCTGGCATGTGGACAGTTTAAGAAGTTCCTTCATTTTATGCACTTTATTGATCTTTTTCTTCAGGTCACTAACTAGAGGGAACACATGCCTCTTCCCATTATTCAAATATTATTATCATTATGATATTTTCTGTCAAGCATATATGCTACGTGCTACTGTTTTTCTGCTCATTACTTTAGAATGGTGTGGTGAAGCATATCAGATATGGTGGAAAATGAGAAATTAATGTGTGTAGTGCATGCTTGTTTTTCAATGCATTGATGGGATTTTATGAAAGCAAGTTGCCGTGATATGTGGGTAGCTTAAAATTGTATGTTGCATGAAATGGTTTGTCATTATTGATTGAAAATCTATAAAAAGATAAGTTAGAAAAGGTTAACCTTTTTTATGTACAGTTACGGGGGAGGGGGGGGGGGCACATGACTTTTCTAGAACTGTGGTTAAATTTGATGTAGAACACAATTTCTCAAAGTGTAAACCTACAGTGAGGTCTTGGATTATTAAAATTCAGAAAGGACACAAAAATCTTTTTATTTACAGACACTGTATTTCTCTGTATTCATTTTGATAACTGTTTCTGTCCATGATAAATGGAGCACGCAAGAAATGACTTTTGTCCATTGTCTGTATATTTGCAAGCTTTGCTGTCTAGTTTATGTTGAAATAGTCATTAACATACAGTCAAATATATATTTTCCTAGGTTTTAAGGATCAAGAATTGCACATTTGAGAAAAGCAACCTGGTAGTAACTGCTGGACCTTGTAAGATTAGACTGTTCAGCATTTTACAACTGAATAATATTAGAATGCTCACATGTAATGTCAAGGCTCAAAATTGTGGAACTGAGAAAGTTGCACATAAACCACTAACTAATGTATGGTAAACCACATGTAATCTATGTTGTAAATTAAAATTTGTGAAACAGCCAAAGGTTATTCAATCCATTTACTGACAGTTGTTCTATTTATGAGTCCCTATTTCGCCACACAGAAAAATTATTGAACAAAGCAATCAATTTTTTATCTACAATTACTTTCCCTCATTTTCACATTGTGTGAAATTTATAAATGACACTTCCTTCTGGGTAGAGACTGATTATATAACAATAACACTTACTGATTGGTCATTCCCTTGGTCATAAAGCCTTATGCCAACAGCTTTTTCTTAATCAAGTCAACTAATGTTTTAAGAATGAAAATGAAATAAAATGTACCTGTGAGGAACTAATTTCCTTCTAGAAGAAGAAAAATGAAGTCTGCTCTTAGGCTGATTATCACCGTCTTGATCAATAGATTTAACTCGTGTACAGACAAATGTTTCAAAAGATGTGGAAACAGATAAAATATAAATCAAAATGTTACATTAATGTGGAGTCTGTATAGCCTCTACCAGGGTTGCAGATTATATAGGGAAAAATGGAAAAAACCATTTATCTAAAGACATATCTGTGAATATCTTGTGAAAAATCAATCTGTGGCCCTGGTTAAGGGTGGAGTCTGTACAGATTTAGGGATAACAAAGAGACAACACTACACCTCAGACATTTTAAATACTTTTTGCATTCAATTGGTTGCCAGGTAACACATTTGGTCTAAACATTAGGATGAAAAATTTGGTCTTCTTCAGTTAAAGATGAAATCATAGTTGTGCAGCACATGTAATTTTTGATCTGAGCCATTATCTTTTGAAAAAAAAAAAAAGAATGAGTGCAATATTCCATTTAATTGGACTATTTCTGATATATGTCAAGTCAAAGTAGACTGAAAATTTGGCATAAGCTTTTATAAATACTTTTGCACTAGAATTCTTTTGTGTAACCCTGAAACCCCCGCCCAACCTCTCTTCAAGCAAAGTTTTTTGGGTTTTTTTTTTCTAAAATTTAAGCTTAGTAAGACTCAGTCATGTATCAGTCTATTTACTTATCTGAAAGTGACTAACTGTTCCACCTAAACTTGACAACTTTTGCTTAATCCACACTGTTGTAGTGATAGGTGTCTACACATTATTATACTCTGGCAGTTTTTATTTTGAAAAAGCAAATGAAAAATACAATCTGTAATACTTTATACAATCTGTAATACTATATACTATTTAAATGCTTGGTCTAGAATATTGTTGTGTTAAGAAACTCTTGACCTTTTGTTGTGTCATTTACAGCTTTGAACCAAATTGCGCTCTATCTGTGTATTATGCTTGATTGAATGTCGCAATTGTCAGTCAAGGCAACCCTTTCTCTGCAACATGTTTCAAGACCTAGATATTTACACTGAGAAGCTAATGGTTATTTTATTGTATGCTAATGTCTCTGCATTACTCTTTTTAGACTGTTTTAATTATTCTGTAATAGTGTAGTTTAATTCCCAAGACTTTTCAAGTTCACAGATTTTCTCAAAGATAAATTAGATTATCACCTTTGTTGGTGCATTCGGTTAGTCATGCAAGGCAGGCTGTGATTCTCGTATGTTAATATAGCGAACTATATCCTAAAGAAAGAGTGTAGTCTTAGGCCGTATTCAGAATAGGGACTAACAAGTCTGAGGGTCAAATATGGTGACCAACTACAAAGCTTGCTGTCTAATCCGCTAATAGACACTGAATAGATATCTCTTGGGAAAGTATTCAAGTGGGTTGGCCATATTTGACCCTCGGACAAGTTAGTCCCCTATTCTTAATGGGGTGTTAAATTTGGGCTAGTGAACAGTTCTCAAATCTATGCTGCATGCATATGCCTTTTGTCAAAAGAATAATTAATGCACTAATACCCAAATACAAGAATTTGTATTTTTTTTATTTTTTTTTACCTTAGCATGTATTCAGATAAAGTAAAGTTCACCAAATTCTGAAAAATGTTAAATTAACGTCAATGTACATGTGGATGGTAATGGGCAGAGCTCAGCATTGCTCCTCCCCAATCTCTCTCTCTCTCTCTCTCTCTCTCTCTCTCTCTCTCTCTCTCTCTCTCTCTGTTGTTGGACTTACATGTCATCTGTTGTAACACGGGTTCTAATCATGTCACTCAGGTGGGCTCATTGGGTAACTTAATTCCACGATGTCTGACCAGTTCATTACCCCATTTCTTTTATCGATTTTTTAATCACAAGCTTATCATTCATAGCTGAAAAGGCAACTTTTGACTGAGGTCTTAGAGATCTGTGCCATTTCTCTTGTTCTCAGTTCAGGGTAATGGGATTGGAAGGAAGTAATGTGTTTTCATCCATTCATTCTTATCATAGGATTACAGAAGGTTATTGCAATTTTATGGTGGAAGTCTTTTCTAAAGATATCATGATTACTGACAGATGATAATTACTTAGGTTGAAAAAGCAGTGTATTAATTCT